AGACCACCTTTTAGCCTGGTCACTGGTAGTTCAACATGGGGACCATCCAACATAGGCTGTGAGGAGTGAGTGCAATGTTCATCAGATGTGTAAGCAGCTGGCCCCAATCCTGGCTCAAGCTGCGACTCTGGCCCTCCGTTTTGCTTCACATCGTGGTGGCCAGGCAGGGCGAACGGTTCCTTGGCGTATACTGACTTGCTTCGAACACGTCTCCTGCATTCGTCGTCACTCATCAGGCATAAACTCCGAGGGAGTGTGGCTGACGCTCATTGTTTAGAGATTGCCAGATGCCTAACAGGACTAATACCTTCGATGGTGAAAAAAAAAAAGTGGTATATTTGGTAATGACAGTGAAAATGACTGACCTGAATCCTGGTTGGACTATAATTAGGAGTGTGTGTGTGTGAGAGCGGTGTTCGTAAAAAACAATGAAAAAATGGTGTGGACTGTAAGTCTTTTGCTCAGCCACAGCAAACAAGTGACTAAATTATGCAGGTTTTGAAAGTTTGAAAGAAAGCAATTGTTTATTAAGTGTGAAATCAAGAAACTGTAATTTTCACATATAAAAATGATAAACTTATTGTAGCAGCCTACTTCTGATGCAAAAAAACTTCTCTTAGTCTTGATCTAGGTTTAAAAGTCTCTCTATAAAGCTAGGGTAATGTATTTTTAGAGATTTTTTTTTTGTTATAGATAAACGGTCGAAGGCCAATCATGCCCCTGCACTGATATGCGCATGACCGTAAGTCTTCCGCAAGCTGGCGCAGGCAAGCATATTGCTTAAAGCTAGCCACACTATTTGCACAAGAATGGCAGACCAAGACGCGCTAAATGTATGGTTCTCTGCACCGTACAACAGTTTGCACTAACTTTAAGCAAAGTGAGAAAAAAAGCAACAGGTCAAACCAGAGTCAGCATCGGTGTGGGCATTTCAACGTTGGGCCAGAAACTGAGGGAGCAGGTTCTGTTTTATGTTTTTTATTTTTTTTTTGGGGGGGGGGGGGGATTTGCTATTTATTATTATTATATTTATTATTGCTATTATTTCAGAGGTGAATAGAAACAAGATTATTACACTACTTTGGCAAATCCTTCACATATTCAGAAAAGAAGATGATTCAACATGCTAAATCGCTTACAGTGGATGTAGAAAAGGACACTGCTCTTGCATTCAATACATGTATCATCACAGTATATTCTGTTCTGCATGGACTGAATTGTTAATTTGAGGTACTGGTTAAGTGTGTGTTCTACATGGGCATGACAATGTTTCGACAACAAATGGACTTCCTCAGACCAAATTTTTCCTTTTTTTTTATAAAAAAAAGAAGAAAGAATGGTTGTTCTGCAGGTATGTACTAAGTTTTTGATTTAATTGTTCTCTCTTTTTCAGTGTCAGCAGATGGGGCTTTTACAGCAGGAGCATGGGGAAAGAAAGAGTTTCCTGCTGCCCCTGCATTATTAAGAACACTTTAGAGGAAAACCACAATGCATTGCACAAAATTCAAGCAAACAAATAAAAGTCTATACAATCCAAGTAGATTCCATTGTCAGGTTCATGATGCACTACAGCAGGAGAGTGAACATATTGGTCTTTTCATCAGTTTAGTAATTGGTTGAATTTGCCAGCACCCAGAAATTCACAATGCGCTGTATGACTTTTTCACTTGAGTAATCTCAATAGGAGATCATTGCTGTAATGTAGTGATTTCCCACAACTTCTTAGGCATTTATAGTACTAGAATGCCTCAGAGAAAGGAGCACAAACTGAACAGTTGGAAAGATTTCTGATTAGGGTTGCCAACCAACAGCCAACCAATCAGCCAACTGTCTAGTATCTTAATCTGATCATAATGGAGTCTTGTGGTAGTTCAGGCTGCCACAAAAATAGATTTCTTGTCACATATATTCCATATATTGCCCAGTCGTGCATATCTACGTCTTATCTGTAACACTTAACTGTCTTATAAACATTTGGTGCATATTCTAGCTGACATACACTAAGCCTAATGCTACACCACAGCCTCTGGTGGATGTGGAAGGCTTCATGGCTTGAATCTTTCTGCAGTAACTTTGGTGAAAAACAACAAACTAAGACTGGTTGCCAGTCTGTTACAGTGTAAACAGACAGATATTATGGATCCAGACAAACATTCTCAGTTCATCCACAAAGGGGCCTGAAATCACAACGATTTTTGTGCTTTTAGATCACAAGCCTGATCCACTGTGCATTCATTATTAGTTTTGACCAATGCTTCGGAATGAACAAGTCAAATCAATTTACCAATAAGTGACCTCTGCTTGGTCATTATCTGAGGTTGGAGTTGCAGATTGATGCATGTTAGTGAACATTTACCATGTTTGCATTTTTTTTACAAGCTAACTGAATTAACATGGCAGAGTGCATGTTCTGTCAACCTGTGCATAATCTGCCAACTGGCTTTTTAAAAAAGTGAATCAATTAAAATGTCTAATCAATACACTTCTATCAATGTTAAAAACAAAAAATCTCTCCATATCATCATTAGATGGTCCCACTGGCTGCAGGATAGGAGTCTGGGAAAACAAAGTAGACATCATGTTTTTAGGAAGGACATTTCAGTATGGATTCAGCAGACGTCTTTACAACGGTCTGATCAATATTCACTGAGGAGTGCTTATTTCAGCACAAGCAGAAAGTGGGTGAGATGTAATAGCCACCAGTGGGAGATAACAATATTAATCTATTGTAAGTAAAGTAGCTGAGTAAATGTACTTTCCATTTTATACTTTACACATATACTTTATATCTATACTCCATTACATTTAAATGGGAAATATTCTACTTTTTATGTAGTGTAGTTACAAGTGATTTAACAGATTAAGATCATAAAAATCATGATCAGTTTCTGAAATATGATGCGTCGTAACAGGTTAAACAGTATATCAATGAGTCTGGCTCTTTAGTTGCTCTTTAGTTGGTGTTCACCAGTTGCTAACTTTGTATGTCCCCTATGCCATTCTGGGGAATGTGGCATACAATGGGTTTGTTGTAGACTTTTTAAATGACAGCACCTGCCTGCTGTCTCAGGAACACTCATCGCCAGTGAGAGCAGTGAGATCAAGCAACAAAGTTAACCAAAACAATGAGCTGAAAGACCTGACCTGAATGATCCAGCCTTAATTAAAGGACCTTAATGACCATAAAATCCTGAGTGAATTAGATTTGCTAGGAAGTGGCTGGTCTTAGCAGTGATGTATGTGGTTCAAAAACTAATCTACAGAGTAATGAGCAAAGCGTAAACCTCAACAAAAACTCTCTGGGTCAGCTGAAAGATACAGCAGGAAGGTATTACACTTAAGATGGAGCTGACTGACCTCCTCTTTTATAAGTTGAAACGATGCATTCTAGTGAGACAGGATAACCAGGAGTCTGTCAAAATCTAAACTGCTTTACCTTGATGTAAAGTCAACAGCTTAGTCATCAAGATAAGATCTTAGTCAGAACCCCCCAAGGTCTCTGCCCAGTCCTTACAGTATAAACACATTCTCTACATATTTTTTCTCTAAACCCAAGATGACTCATCCCTGGCCAGTTTTGAGGACTTTGAAGTTGAAAAATGACAGAAACAGGGTGTTACGAGCTCTCCTATTGTTTTTACTCCCCCCTTTCTCTCTTCTTTGCTATCTCTCATTGGGGAGGATTGGTTGGTGGGCTGCCCCCATATTTAAGGTAGGCTTCAAAAACAGGCGCTCTCCCAGACAACGCAGCCTGCTGATTCCATCAGTTAACTTATTTTGCTCATTATTTTTTTGTTCCGTTCTTTGAGGATGGAGGTCTGATACTCCGGTTTTTGGTTCTTTGCTTCTCTGTTCCTTTGGTGCGGCAGTAGCTCAGCCTGTAAGGGACTTGGGAACTGGTTGCTGGTTCAAGTCCAGCATAGCCTCCAGGATGGGTAGTGGACTGCAAACTGAGAGGTGCCAATTCCACCTTCCACCGATCGCTACGGAACTGGGGATCAATATAGTTTATGTTTAGTTATAATGTGTTTTTTTTTGTAGTTTATGTGGGCGGCCAGACTTTCTTCATACAATGTCCTTTTAACTGTTTGTCGCTGTTTATTTTGTGGCCATAACACAGGTCTTGTTGGAAGGACATGATGTTCTCTACATGGCCTAATATGTTCATCAAATCAGTTACTTATCAGGTTTTCTGACTTTTTAAACTCATTTTTATAGCCTGTACTTTGTTTTGGAACAACTGTTTAACACTGAACCAATCCACATCATTAAATATTTTCACAAAAAAAAAAAAAAACAACAACAAAGGCTTAAACATGCCCCCAAAGCTATAAAGGTGAATATAATGTGTGTATATATATATATAGATAGATATAAGATATAGTATTTTTCCAGTGTTTTGCAGGCCAATTAATCAACATCATTTTATTCATAATTTCTCTGTTATGGGCCGTTGTACAGCAAGATGATGTGAAATGAAAGAAGAGGAAAAGCTGTACTGATGACAGAATATTTATCACCCTGCCATTTGCACAGAAGTAGCCAGATAGCAGGTGTGACTGTAGTCAAGTAAGCAGATGTCTGTTTGAAGTGCTCACTGATCTCGCATCTGATTCTGCTCATATGAGTCAGCTGATATTTAAGTCAGTTTCTCAAAAAGTTGCCTTTATCATCTCCTGTGCGTCTTTCTGCAAAAAACTTTTGCTCTTCTCAGCTCAAGTACAATTTCTAAAGCCAGAAAACATTTCAGTTGGATGGCATCTTATATTTTTAAGCTCTTTGAGAGTAAATTAAGTTTCTATGAGTTCTGTCTTTTCCATTTTTCTCTGCCGAGTTTCACTTCGAGACATATTTTTAGCAATCCACTAAATGGAAATGGAAGCCTGGGGGCTGTACTCACTGAAGTGCAGATTTTATAGCCCACTCCAAAGTCAAACCGACACTGCTCATCCATGGAGTAGTTGATGCCAGGAAGTTCAGGAAGCTGCGGCCAGTCATGTTTGAAGGGGTCATCCAAGAGACAGTCGTATGTGCTGTCAGGAAATGAAAAAAGAGGTAACATTGGTGTCAAACACTGAACAGAGACTTAATTTTGGCATCCTAATAAGGACCAGAAGGTATTTTTAAGTGGCCTTGGGCTTGATTTGTCTCAGTGGTAGAGAGCCTTAACTTGAAACAGCCTTTATTAGAGACGAACCTTCATCCCTACTTCCCCTTCTTTATATGTTTATCTTATCATACTTTGGTAAGAAGCCTTCCTGTTATCTCCCATCAAAATTCAATAGCTTTGTTAGGCTCCATCAACAGTAATGTATAATTGGTTAAAACCATCAAAGTAGAAGCAATTAGAGCAGCACAGTGGGCATGGGCCTCATTGGAGATTTGACCATTATTGAATACTTTTATCTGACAATTTACTGTAATTTACTGTATGTTCTGCCTGGGCCATGCAGTTACATCACACACTGGATTCAACATTTCATTTTAGCTCTAAGTGAGCCGCAACACATCCTACAATTTAGTGCTTTCTTATGCAGCTCCTAATTGTTCACAAACATGCACCACTTTGATACCTGTGAATATTTAATAAAAAAAGTAACTGAATGCTGCACAAAGCTCTTTGAGAAATTGGGAAACAACTTAATTTATTTGTTTTGTTTGTTGTTATGCACATATATTTCTGGTTATAGGCAGATTTAGCTGCAGTAAATCTCCAAATTCTTCCCAAGGCAAGGAGCACGTGTAAACCCTGCTCAAAGTCAGAAAAGGCATAGATGCCTTTTGTTTGTGTAAAATAATTTTAAACATAAATTTCACTGCAGCAGCTGTCTGCTCAAGTTTTCTCTTGACAAGACAGAACCCAGGCTTTCATGTTTATGATCCTTCATTATCATACTGCAGAAAGACTTTGCATACCAAATAGCATATTGATTTTTCTCTACAATGGTTGCATCTGCAGTATACTGTATGGTGATTGATTATACATCATCTCCTTTAATACAATCTGGTTGTTTGGTGTCCACGCTCTACTGAACTTTCCGTGTCAAAAATTGATTCTTTTACAGCTGAGTGCAAAACTCGATGTCTGTGAACTGAACACAAGCGATGGATGCGTGTGCTGAGGCTCATACATGCTCTTTCAGTGTCCTGTTTGGAGATGGCATGATGCTGTATAGGAACATATTACCTGTCATCATGAGCTTCAGTGACTCCAGCTGCAGGTTAATGATGATGATTTCCTCAGAATATGTACAGTAAAGTTGGTTTCCAAAACAATGAAAATGAACCTCTCTTCTCACCTTAGCTTACACCTATTCAATTATAATCTAATATACTGCAGTCATTATTTGATATCTCAAACACTGCTCAACAGATTTCAGTAAGGCTTGGTAGAAAGTTTGACTATGGGATAAGGATGAACAGATTAAGTTAGGGTGTGGATAGCACCACCATGTGGTCATTTATAAAGCACTTTGTATTTTGGCTCCTCAGCAGTAAAGTAAAATGGAATTCCTCCCTGTTGGTTCTAAAAAAAGTGTCAAGCATAGATCACAATTTTTTCCTTTTAAAGCAACTTGATAAATCAGTGGTCATGAGTTTGCTAAATGTATCCTTTTACAATGTTCTTATATTTCCAGGAAGGATTTAGGTATTGTTGGGTATATCTTTAAATCGATCCAGATGAAACAATTCTAAACATTTTCTGAGGTAAACATGCTCTAGAGGTATGAGTTCATTGAGTTCTTGCTAAATAAAGCTATGCCTTAAATGCCTGTGACTCTTCAACCATATTTTATCCCTAATCCTTTCAGCTTTAGCCATTTAGGCTCCAGCTCTGCCATCTTTTACCACTGCTAAAATAATAAATCCCATCCCTACTCTTTTTGACAATATATTTTAAAACAGTCCCACTTCTACAAGAATTGTAGAGTGTTTGTTAATGCAAACACACATTGCTGTGACTGATAACTGCAAAAATGAACTCACTGGATGTATCTCTTCAGCTCCTGTCCACTGCACATGGACCAGTGGTATCGATGGAAGGCCGCCTGCACCAAAGGAGCCATCACACTTCCCATCGCCGTTTCGTCCCCACAGCGGTTTCCTTGGCCATCGTGCTCCATGCCCAACCTGCTCCCACAGGGAGAGACAAGCCATTATTTACAAAACCGCAGGACATCGAGATAAATCCCCAAGGAGTTTTAAGTAAATAAGCCGTTTTCACACCATAGACTCATAATACAAAAATCTTACCTTTCAGTGACCAGAAGTGGAAACTTACTTACTAGATTTATTCAAATAATAAAAAGAGAAAGTTGTGGGTTATATTTTTTATATTTTCTGAAAATGATTGAATTAATGTAGGAATGTTTTACGAGCACAAATTCAGAAGGGAAATCGTC